CCGACTCTCAAACATAACCTATACCTGGGCCTAGAAGGCAGCATGGTTGCTCTATATATCATATCGATTTCCAAATTGTCTAGAGTTTTGGGCCATGAAGTATGCATGGAGGAAGATACCTTACCGACTCCCTATACCGGTGGGTGTTATCGTTCATCGGGAGGTTTGGTCTACCTTACCAATATAACCTATACCGAGGTATGTGTGTATTCTAGCATATAAAATGCCCCCCAACACGATTTATCGGGGCCTTCAAAGGTATAGGGGGTTTGAGGCGTGAAATATACTTCATTATTGGTAGCTTACCGACTGCGCAAGCGCTTAATTTAATTTTATACAGTCAAATCTCACATCCATCGTGCCTGATCATGAAAAAATACGATGTCAGTATACATCATGACTTGCTACGTGTTAGACATTACCGGATTTGTGGATAACAACAATAGCGCAGTTGCTAAGGAATTGGCTATAATGCCTGTAACCTATAATGAAGATCCCACAACATGGTTTTTCAAACCACCATACGAGTGGGAGCAGCTAAATGAAGGGGCCAAATCATACAACGAATTTTTAATATACCGTGATGGGCTAGAATGGGAATCAGGTGAAATCGACTACGGCTGTGTGAAAAAAGTGCTTGATGAACAATTAAAAGATGCGAAAATAATATTTATAAAAGATTTTAAAGTCGGAGAGTGGCTAGCCTCGTATGGTTTCCGCAATTTTTGTGATGTGAGCCATGCTCAAAATTATGATGATTACAATATTTCAATTTTTGATATGCCATCGTGTTTAAAGCATACTCATTCGGCTATGATGGCGTGTGCTGCTAAAAATGTGAAAAAATTATTATTCAATGTAATGATCCATTGTCAATAAATGATCAAGTCTCGACTAATAAAGTAAACATTTTAACTAATAAACTTTTGTTTTATTTGAAAATAATCAAATCCTTCCTATACGCTACGAGCGAGTCTCGAATTTATCAAGTACCGTATTCAGTTTCACGATTGGGAGTTCTGAGAATACCGAGATGTCGGCGAACTTGAAACAAAAAGAACCGATAAAATTTCATTTCTTACCAGTTTCATCACTACCTAGAATTTGTAGTCCCATAGCGCTTTTTATGTATGTAGGATAGGAGAAATATAAATAATTATAATTTTTAATTCATTTGATTTGAGATTTATTTAAAAAAATTATATGTTTAGCCAACAACATCTTTATCCATCTATTGCTTTAAAGCTAGTACATTCGACACAGCACATTCAGAGTCAATATTTAAACTATGATGTGCACAGGCAGGGAGTCTCTTCATATTTTTGAGAGCGGGGCTGCCCAGTTGCTCGAAGTCGATGATTTCTGCCGAGGTATATTTACGAATCCAGCCGATCTTTTCAGCACCTTTGACGTATACGCGCATGGCTTCACAGAGGGCTCGTCTTAGAGTAGACTCGAGCTCGTAGTAGCTTATGTCTCCATGATGCCATTTTAATCGATGATAATTTCTTTCCAACCATCGATTCACATCCATATTAAGTGGTGACAGTCTTGCAAAGCCATAGGGGGGTTTGAAGAGATACACTGATGGTACATCGTAAGAGCTTCGTAGCGGAATAATAGCCCCTTCTTTGAAAAATAAATCTGTTTCCGTGAGCTTTGAAGCCCTGTGCGTCAAGTATGAATGTCATGTTGATGGAGTTCACAAAAAAGAATTCAATTATTCAACTTTTTTTGTTTCTCAACCGCATAAGTTGTTGCAGATTTATCATTAAAATGCTGCACCTCCACTCGATGAAGCGGAGTATATTTATTCTTAGGCGGCTTTGAATCAGTCTTGGGCCTTGACTCGTTCGCACCCATAGATTAGTTATATTTTTTTAGTTTCAACTTGAGGATTTGAACTATACTTTAAACCATTTCCAATATGATCTCTTACAACCACTATTTGACTTTTCGGATTTCCGTACTGAGATACTTTTGCTAATATTTTTTTCTTAGCTTCTCTAAGAAGCGACGAATTTTGCGGTCTACTCGCTTCCTGACCCATTGAAATCTTCCAGTAGACTGATAAAAGAAGCCATCAAGATACTATTTATATGCTATTGTCTTACTCACACTCCATCTGAAGGCTATCACTGATACTAATAACGTTCTTTTTAGCACACAGCGTTGGTATTGGAATAAAAGGCTCGAACAAAGTCTCAAAAGGCTCGAACATAGGCTCAAAAGGCTCGAGCGAAGGCTCAAATCGCTCGAGCGATGGCTCAAAAGGCTTGAACGATGGATCAAGGCTCGAGCGATGGCTCAAAAGGCTCGAGCGAAGGCTCAAAAGGCTCGAACGAAGGCTCAAAAGGCTCGAACGAAGGCTCAAATCGCTCGAGCGATGGCTCAAAAGGCTCGAGCGAAGGCTCAAATCGCTCGAACGATGCCTCAAATCGCTCGAACGATGGCTCGAAAGGCTCGAACGAAGGCTCAAAAGGCTCGAACGATGGCTCAAAGGCTGGGCAGCATTGATTCGAAGGCTCGAAGGCTCGGCAGCATTGATTCAAAGGCTGGGTAGCGTTGATTCGAAGGCTAAGCAGCGATGGCTCAAAGGCCGGGTAGCGAAGGCTCGAAGTTTGGACAGCAATGGCTCGAAGGCTAAATAACCTTGATTCGAAGGCTCGAAGGCTAGGCAGCGATAGCTCGAAGGCTGGGCAACAATGGCTTGAAGGCTGAATAGCGTTGATTCGATGGCTCAAAGGCTGGGGAGTGTTGATTTGAAGGCTCGAAGGCTAGGCTCAAAGGCTCAAAGGCTCGAAGGCTGGGTAGCGTTGATTCGAAGGCTAGGCTGCGATGACACAAAACGTTCAAATGATTGCTCGAAAGGTTCGAATGATGGCTCAAAACGTTCGAACGATGGCTCAAAGGCTGGGTAGCGAAGGCTTGAAGGTTGGACAGCAATGGCTCGAAGACTGAATAGCCTTGATTCGAAGGCTCGAAAGCTAGGCAGCGGTAGCTCGAAGGCTGGGTAGCTAGAGTTCTGAGCCATAAGTTAGCATCGTCATACATGATCTCGAGTATGGGTAGCATACCGACTCACAAACATGGCCTATTTAGCTCTTGAACTTATCCTACACCGGAGAGTTTTGAAGGCTATGAAGTAGACCTCATCACAGATCTCGAGCGTGAGTAGCATACTTACTGCCTCCCAAACTCTCACGACATACGCTACCTTGTACCGGGGACCGTCAACACTCTGCCGTGGGGTCACAAAGACATCGCGAGCGAGCCTCCAGCCAAGAAGCCAAAGTATAATTAAAATATTTTTAGCCGAATTAATTTTGTACAAGTATCAAATAAAAATGTATCATTTAAAATTATATAATCTCTTATAACTTTCTGCCTGATCCCCGACTGACTCGTTATCACTTGAATAATAATAGAGTCCACTGGATGTATCAAGTTTAATTTCTTGACGAGTATTCCATGAATTTATTTCAAGCAATGCCTACTGATAACTAAAGAATTTTATTGACGGCTTACATTAAAGAAGTACACCGGATGTATCAAGTTTAATTTCTCAACGGTTATTCGGAGAATTGATATCAAACTACACAAAGGATGTTCGGGTTTCCCCCTAGATGTCATCATCGATCGCTCGAGTAGTGGGATTATGAAGAGACCAATCATTGCTCGAGTAGTTAAGGTAGGGAGAGCTGTTGAGAGCGGGGGGGGGGGTCGACCGATAAATAGAGCGAGGAGCTCGAGCCAAGGCTCAGTCGTTGATCAGAAAGATCCCACAGCACTCGTATAATTCTCTCACTATCTTTCCGATTCATAAAAATGGATTTTAAAAAAGTAAATCAGTTGGCCAAGAGCAAAGCAACGTATCTACCTCTTAAGAAAATTACAGATCTGATGGCGGATCGCGATTACAAGGTTACAGCCATCAGAAAAACAGTTACGAAATATGGTCCGAAAATCATACTCCAACTCGATCAGGAGTTCCAAATGTTTCTACCGAAACAAGTTTCCGATGCGTTGCTTGACACCTACAGTGCCATAAAGATCAAAAATTTATACATTAAGTGTGAGGACCAATGTATACAGTTTTTTGAAAAAGAGTGAATTTTAATTATTGTAAAGTGTGTGTGGGTATGCGTTATACTTATTAAAAGAATTGTTATACTATAATGGTGATGTGAGGTATGGGTTATACTTATTAAAAGAATTGTTATACTATGATACTGATGTAATATTCTCATAAGATTACATGAAATAATAAAACGTTTGTTTAAAAAATATATACACATCTCTCTTTATTTATTGAATCATACAATATCGTTTTTATTAATCCAACTATTATGACTATCATCGAAACCTAGCCGTTTTACATAAGCCTGATCCCCACGTCTCTTGATAACTTTTTCCACGAGGTAAATGTCTACATGTTTTAAAAAGTTCTTCGTAAAAAACAACCCGAGATCGGCTGCTCGAGGTAGTCCTGCTGAAAAAATATCGATGCAGGCGATTAAATATTTATAGCCGCCGTTCTCTCGAGCATAAGGTATCATTTCGACCAAATCAATCTGCCACGTCTCATCCAATCCGTGTACGTTCATCCGCCCCCGCGGATAGTTGTGTGCGTGGACCTGTGTAGCTCCTCGATGCGATCTTTTTTTTTCAGCTCATCTAACGCCGCTGCTGCTTCTAACTGATTCATTTTTTGTTGTTGTTTTAACTCGATTATTTGAGCGTTGAATTCTTGATGAACCTTATTGTTCGCTTATACTGTTTATATTAAAGTATAGCGTTTCAAAGTTTATTGCATCTCGAGCATCTGTCGGAGCTCCCACGTTACACAAACGCCTGTCTTCGATATCAAAATGAGCGCCGTCTTCGGCAAGTTTGTATGCAATGCATGGAACTCCCCGGCTACGCTCTTGCTTACCGCTCGAGACCCGGTCAATTACGCCGACTAATATGTTATGAATGTTGGCTTTTATTCATATCAGCTAGTGTATATAACCAGCCTCTCGTAGTTCTTCGATTATGGAGGTGATTTCGTTGTCGTGAGCATTGTTTCCAGCAGATCTCTCAGCCACGAGGAGTCTGAGCCTATCCACTAGCTCGTTCGGATCGTTCCAGTAAACGAAATCTTTCGATGAATCATGACTTTTTGCTACTTTATGGCTAGGCAATAAACCGCGCCCGCGTTTCGCTACTTTATAACTCGGCAATAGGCCACTTCCACTTTTGAATAATGGCTCAATGATCTCGCTAAATTTATTGCTACGGTATTTGCAAATTTCTCCAGTATTAACGAAACCACGCCGGTGTGCATTTGTAGGTTCAAGTATTTTTCTATAAGTAGACTTGTCAGTTGATGTAATAAGATCAGCGTTTGGACTTCTTTTGAATAAAAGTTCGAGCAGGCCTGCACTTGTGTCATATTTAACGTTTTCGATATTTAGCTTACTTCCAGCAATTTCTATCGGTGATTTGCCCAAAACATATTCATTATTTTTCATGCGGACGCCGTAGAGCTTATCAAGATCTTCGGAACGATTTTCAATCAAGTTTAGATAATCTCTAATAATCTCATTTTCACCATTGGTAATCGATGCAGCGGTATCTTCTTCATCCTCGGTCACTTGATCAGATTCCTCTTCGGAAATTGATTCTTCTTTAATATTTTTTAATTTTAAACTTTTATTATTTTCAGAATCTTCGACTTTTAAATTATGATCAGTTTGAACCGTCTGCTGTACAAACTTATTCTTTTGATTTACAGGCGGACTTTTTTCTTCCTTCAGAGTGACCAGCTTGTTGAGGGGTTTAATGATGGACTTGAATGTCTCGGCGACCGTTCTTTCAGTCTCATCTCTACCACGTTTTAGCATCAATGCCTTGCGTCGTATCGCGTCACGAGATTTGACAAGCTCTTGAAGTACTCTCTGCTCTCGCTCGGACATATTAGCTCGATAATGTGCGGTGATATACTAATGCATAACGATTAATGTTATGATATATTTATAGCAAAATTGTCGAATGCTTTCCGATATCGACCCGTGTTAATACTAGCTCTATCCTTGTCAATGGTCAAAAAATTATTATCATCACCACATGCTGACGTATAGGGAAGAAAATAAGTTTTAACTGTCGTTGCACGCTGTCGTTCGACTTTCTTGGCTGTATACTTGTTCCAATCGTCCGATATTGCTTTACTTTTTCATACTTGCTTGACGCTCGCATTTTTTTCTAGACACTTCTTGAGTATTAAATTTAGCATTTTGCTCGGAGTTTTTTATTGTTTCTTGAGTGTTATATCGACGCGGTGGAGAGCCATTATATCCGTAATTGTCGTAGCCTTCGGTTCTCGAGCTTTGATTATTTGGTTGGTTATTACCCATTTTAAAACGTGAAATCTTAATTATTTAGGTAATTATCGATATAAAATGGTACGTGTTGACTTGTTTTCTTGCCGTGGCAACTAATTCTTCTTTAAAAGCCCTACACTCAAGCTGCAATCGGCTTGCTCTTTGATCTCACTAATTTTTTTAGCATAATCATGATATTATTTCAACCAATTACAAATACAGAATGACTTAATTTTCATTATCGCTCGGTATTTATACTTTTTTGTTTTTCTGCTTTTAAATGATATACAAGCGCCATACATAGATGAAGACTTTACTTCAGAACCCTCCACCGTATGGGTTATGTTCAAGAGTCGGTATGCTACACACCCTCGAGATCATGTACGACGATGCTAACTTCATGGCTTAGAATATCCTCGAAATAGGTTAAGTTCGAGAGTCTGTAAGGTGAAAACCGGTGCCTAGCCTTTGGATCAATGATGATTCATTCGGGCTTTACTTATGATCTAGCGGCTACAAATGTATCTTTATGCTTGATCATACAGCTACTCATTTGAGCATAATAGACGAGCATTAGTGTTACTTGTATGGTGCATACTTATTGGGAAAAATACATTAAGTTATATGCATAATGCAGATCACGTGACCGGATAACCAAGAAGTCGATCTCTACAATCCGAAAGACATACCTCTCTATAGCCTATGAGCTAACATGATCGACAATACTGCTATATATCATATGAACCCTGATTGAAATTTTGGGAGTCAGTAAGTATGCTACTCCCCCTAGAGATCTGTGATGACGTATACTTCATACCCTCGAAAACCAACCGATGTAGAATGAGTTCGAGCGTCGATGAGGTAGATATCCAGCTCCGATTAATAAGGTACCGATATATAGGGTATGTTTTGGGAATAGGTATGCTACCCATCCTCGAGATCATGTACAACGATGCTAACTTCATGGCTCAGAACTCTAGGTACAGGTTATTTCCGGAAATCGATATGATATGTAGCGGTATTAGCGAAGCTTCCAAAAGGTAGAAACTGAATTATCGTCCAGCCTCACAAGTTATTTATATCGTAGTATATCAGTGATGACGTATACTTTATAGCCTCGAATACCCCTGGTATAGGTTATGTTCGAGAGTCGGTGAGGTAGATAGCCACTTTCGATCGATGAGGTAGGTACCTTTTACAAATAGCTTCTCGCTGGATCATATAACTACTCATTTGAGCATATAGCCAATTATCAGTGCTACTTGTATATAGAACGTGATCATTGCGAGAAATACATTTAGTTATATGCTGATTCAATATTGATGCTTTCTGCTTGGATTTAAAGGAGGTTCTATAGGTTATGATGCCCCGGCAGCTCGGGTATTGCTGTAGCCCGTGTGTTAACATGCTTGTTAATATCGTTATCATATCGAGCCCCAATCAGTAATGACGTATAATTGATGACTCAGAACTCTGGGCATGGGTAAGGTTCAGGAGTCAGTATGCTAACGGTATTATCCATCACTCCCTGGTGTGAACTACCCCTGGTATAGGTTACGTTGGGAGACGATGAGGTAGAAACGCTACTCGGCCTTCGAATGAACGCTACCCAACCTTCGAGCCTGTGAGCCTTCGAATTAACGCTACCAAGCCATCGGATCGATGCTCCAGCCTTCGAACCTTCCCTACCCAACCTTCGAATCAACGCTGCTATGCGGCCTTCGAGCCTTTGAGCCTAGCCTTCGAGCCTTCGATCGAGCCTTTTGGGCCATCGATCGAGCCTTTTGAGCCATCGTTCGAACGTTATAAGTCATCGTTGCCTAGCCTTCGAATCAACGCTACCCAACCTTTGAGCCTTTGAGCCTACGCAGTACATACCTTGGTATATATGTATATCATTGAACATATATCCTTGCATGTATGTATATTATTGTACGTATACCTTTGCATGTATGTATATCATTGTACATATACCTTTGCATATATGCATCATTCGAACGTTTTGAGCCATCGTTCGAACCTTTTGAGCAATCATTTGAACGTTTTGAGCCATCGCTGCCCAGCCTTTGAGCCATCGATCGAGCCTTTTGAGCCATCGTTCGAACCTTTTGAGCAATCATTTAAACGCTACCGAGCCATCGAATCAATGCTACCCGACCTTCGAATCAACACTACCCAGCCTTTTGAGCCTTCCTTATCCAGTCATTGAGCCATTGCTGCCTAGCCATCGAATCAACGCTCCCCAACCTTCGAATCAACGCTGCTATGCGGCCTTCGAGCCTTTGAGCCTAGCCTTCGAGCCTTCGATCGAGCCTTTTGAGCCATCGTTCGAACGTTATAAATCATCGTTGCCTAGCCCTCGAATCAACGCTACCCAACCTTTGGGCCTTTGAGCCTACGCAGTACATACCTTGGTATATATATGTATATCATTGAACATATATCCTTGCATGTATGTATATTATTGTACGTATACCTTTGCATGTATGTATATCATTGTACATATACCTTTGCATATATGCATCATTCAAACGTTTTGAGCCATCGTTCGAACCTTTTGAGCAATCATTTGAACGTTTTGAGCCATCACTGCCTAGCCTTCGAGTCTTTGAGCCTTCGAATCAATGTCACCAAGCCTTCGAGCCATCGATCGAGCCTTTTGGGCCATCGTTCGAACCTTTCGAGCAATCATTTGAACGTTATAAGTCATCGTTGCCTAGCCTTCGAATCAACGCTACCCAACCTTTGAGCCTTTGAGCCTACGCAGTACATACCTTGGTATATATGTATATCATTGAACATATGGAGAAATTTGTAATTTGAGGCCAATAAATTATTATTATTATTATTATATATCCTTGCATGTATGTATATTATTGTACGTATACCTTTGCATGTATGTATATCATTGTACATATACCTTTGCATATATGCATCATTCGAGCCTTTTGAGCCATCGCTGCCTAGCCTTTTAATCAACGCTACCCAGCCTTCGAGCCTTCGCTACCCATCGGTCAAGTCTTTTGAGCCATCGTTCGAACGTTTTTGAGCCATCGGTTGAACCTTACGAGCAATCGGTCGAACCTTTTGAGCAATCATTTTAACGTTTTGAGTCATCGCAGCCTAGCCTTCGAATCAACGCTACCCAGCCTTACAGCCTCCGCTACTCAGACTGCGAATCAACGCTAATAAGCCTTCAAGCCTTACAAGTTACCACGTGTTACTGTACGTTAGCGCACGTTACTGCATTTTTAATGAGCAGTGGTATAATAAAATTCTTGGAATCGAACTTAACGCGAAATTTTTATCGCATTAGGGAATCCCTAGTTGCCGATAAAGCTCTATGTAAAGCGGCGGGACCCGATAAATCGTGTTGGAGGGCTTGTAATGCTGGAATACATATACCTCGGGATAGGTTATGTTAGTACGGTAGACCAACCTCCCGATCAACGATAACACCCACCGGTATAGGTTATGTTCGAGAGTCGGTACGTTACCCAACCTTCGGCGATGACCATGCATACTTCATGGTCCAAAACTCTAGGCCATTTGGAAATTCGATATGATATATAGAGCAACCATGCTGCCTTCTTGGCCCAGGTATAGGTTATGTTTAAGAGTCGGCAAGGTAGATTAGCTATATCCATCCCCGAGTATCCGGGTACCCTCGAGTCGGTAACACCAGGGTCGATAAAGCTCTATGTAAAGCGGTGGGACCCGATAAATCGTGTTGGAGGGCTTGTAATGCTGGAATACATATACCTCGGGATAGGTTATGTTGGTAAGGTAGACCAACCTCCCGATCAACGATAACACCCACCGGTATAGGTTATGTTCGAGAGTCGGTACGTTACCCAACCTTCGGCGATGACCATGCATACTTCATGGTCCAAAACTCTAGGCAATTTGGAAATTCGATATGATATATAGAGCAACCATGCTGCCTTCTTGGCCCAGGTATAGGTTATGTTTAAGAGTCGGCAAGGTAGATTAGCTATATCCATCCCCGGGTATCCGGGTACCCTCGAGTCGGTAACACCAGGGTCGATAAAGCTCTATGTAAAGCGGTGGGACCCGATAAATCGTGTTGGAGGGCTTGTAATGCTGGAATACATATACCTCGGGATAGGTTATGTTGGTAAGGTAGACCAACCTCCCGATCAACGATAACACCCACCGGTATAGGTTATGTTCGAGAGTCGGTACGTTACCCAACCTTCGGCGATGACCATGCATACTTCATGGTCCAAAACTCTAGGCAATTTGGAAATTCGATATGATATATAGAGCAACCATGCTGCCTTCTTGGCCCAGGTATAGGTTATGTTTAAGAGTCGGCAAGGTAGATTAGCTATATCCATCCCCGGGTATCCGGGTACCCTCGAGTCGGTAACACCAGGGTCGATAACCTGCGATCGATATCGATTTACCCACCGTCGGTAAAACAGGCATCCCCAGTTATCGACCCCCCACTCCAGGTGGTAGAGGGGTGGTGGTACCCCCACTCCCTGACTTGGAGAGGGGGAGGGGGAAAGGGGGCGTGGCCTATAGGGAGGAGGAGTGGGGGGGCCAGAACTCTCATAGCTCACCTACTA